TCACTTTCACATGGTTTAACCACATAAAAATGACAATAATTTCATTTTTTTAGAACTAGTTTGGGAGGTCTTTTTGTAGAATGGTGTTTACTTTTCCCGTGCAGTATTCAATTTTTTTGGCAGTGCTTGAAGGGAGTCTGTCAGGATTAAATCATATAGCCCTAGAAGAAATTGTTACAACACCTGACACCTTAGAATTATTTGAGGTTTAATGTATATTCTTTGCATATAGGGCCTAATCCAAAGCTGTCATCTGCATAGTGGCTCAGTCTAGACTAGACATTTGTCACAGGCTAGCCCATGTTTCACCAGTTCTGGTCTCATTCACGTCTAGAGTTCAGCACAGAGCCAGGAACAAGGTCCTACTCACTTCATCCTCCAGTTCTCTACCTGAACTGCTGGCGCACAATATGATATTGATACTTTTTTTTTTTACAAGAAAGAAGAAAAATTATTTCTGATTAAAATTAAATTTATAGAACTCTTAAGAATTGCATGTTTAAGTTATGTGTAGAAGTTTTTTTCTTTTCCTTTCAAGCAGCCTGAACCTGAACACCAATGTGCAAGTTTAATTTGGGCATCACAAGGAAGATTTTTGTTAACTATGTCAAGATAATTAGAAATAACATGGTTAAGCTGGTTTTTGAGAGAATCTCTAATGTTTTTAGACTTACATTAATAATATGGAATAATTATTCTGTGATAGTAATCAGGATTTTCAGATTATTGAGCTTTTTTTGGCCATTGAGGCTTCACAGTTGTTCTCTTTCTTTTATTCAAGGGAGCTGCAAATATTTACATTTTAAAACACACTGATGATGATTGATTGTGGAAACTGCTTGTTTACCTGGAGTTTAGCATATGCATAAGCATTGCTTAGATAGGGCTAATTTATTTCATGAGAATGTTCTAGAAAATTTCAGTTTCTCATTGGTCCTTTAGAAATTGGACTTATAATTCATAAAAGTAATTTTATATTACAGATTTTTAGTCTAATTCATAATATGAACTGACTGATAAACTTCCTAACTCATGTTTTTCTGTTCATAAAATCTGTCCATTACTAATTCACTTTTAGTTTCTAGTTCCTAGAAACGTAAGAAATTTTTGCAAGTGCTCCAGTTGGTTGACTTTCTAATGAATTTTTATCTTTACTTTAGACTACACCCTTAGCACTGTGTGTAAGAAAACCTAAAGGAAAACCATTGCCTTAAGCAGTCAGATCAGGTACACTACTTAGTGTGCCTGTCTTCATATGCATTGTAGGTCTTCACAGTTGACCAACACTAAAAAAAAAACTACTAAAGCATCCTGCTGGAAGAAGGAAACTGTTCATTTGGAAAGTTAAAAGTTTCTGTGATTAGTTTTGATTTTGAAATTTTGATGATAGTTGAAAGAAGTTGTATTTTTGGCCCATCCTCTGGTCCCTATATATTTCCAGTGGCAACTTGTTTTCATCATTTGGAAAATGTGCATATGCGTGTATTCTAATACATGTATCACTAATATATGCATATTAATTTCAGCATATCCAGCCCTATGAATTGTCTCTTTCCCGTTACATTCCTCTTTGTTAGCCATCTCTAAATTCTCTGTGTTTTTGAATTAATTTAGGTTTTGTTCTATCGGTTCAAGTATTCAATGTATTTTATGTATATCAGCAGAGTTATGTACGTATATTCTGCAGAGGATGAAAAGCTTTTGAAATCTTTTTTATATTAAGTACAGTAGTTGAAATATTTTAAAAATCTGGTTGGTGCTTAAATACATAACCACTGCTTAGATACGTAGGAGACAGAGATGGACAACTGAAGAACTGACAGACCTAAGGTCAGGACAAGCCAATGATTAATGAGTATAGATGAGCCAAAGTCCTACTATAAAATAAGGTTAAAAAACCACTGTTTCTCTGTTCCTACTTCTTAGTACAGCCTTGGGCAGTACTGAAGGAAAAAGAAGATGGGATTAAAAGTATGTTTTGGATCAAAACTATGCAATCATTTCACCAGTCTTTGGGAAGCAATACAAGAAATACCAAACCAATGATTTTCACCTTGTCTATAACTTAGGCAGTATGCAGATTTTTCCTAAGTCTGTACCTTAACAGCAGCCACAGTCACCTTACAAAGATACCAGTTCCACTTGCACAAGGTTCCTTTATCTTGATTCTGTAACTACTTTAAAATTTAGGATTACTTCCTACTTAAATTTTAATTCTCATATTGACGCATACGTGCAGGGCATTCTTTTTGTGTTCCATATGCACTGAAAGAACCAGTTCAGTATAACCAAAACACCCAGAAATAAAAATAGACAGAGGAATGCACAGATAAGTACCACATGAAATAAGACTGGAATTATTTCAGTTAGCATCACAACACTCTACAGTAAGGGTAAAACTCTGTTACCTCAGAAAAGAAGTATTAAAAAAAAAATACTATCTCCAAAAGTACAAGTAGTCTAGAAATTAATTGGTAAATTTTGTAGGCTAATACTAGTTCAAATTGTTGCAAGCACCTTTAGCTGTTACAAAATAATCCTAGAGACCTGTAATTCTGTAAAATTATCACTGATTTTCTCTGTGCTTTTTAGGACTTTGAAATTCTGCCAATGATATGTATAATTTATGGGTTTGGTTACTTGCACATCCATACTCCACTTAGCACATCTCTACTCTGCTCTACATTCTTTACTTTGTGTCTATGAAAACCCATAAAAGTCACTTGGGACTACGAAAGTACAGGGGTAAGAGGGAATTTGACCTCATGGTTCTTGAGCACCTCTAAGGAATGTCCTGTTTAAAGCAGCTGGAAAGAATTGTGAACAAACTGATATTACAGGTAGGGCGACGGATGCAACCTGAAGCATTCAGAAATTTCAGACACTGGAAAGGTAAATCCTTTCTCTTTACTGGAACATGGCTTTTCTTTCTAGAAGAGGAAAGAGATAACCTCTTCTGCAGAAGCCAAGATGTCCAAAGGGTTTATGTGGCTTGCTAGCCACTGAGGTATGCCAACAAAAACATTTTGCACTTATACCAATAACAAACAATGAGTTGCTGGAGGCAACAGCTATTGCCAGCACTTGAATAAAAAAACTTTGGCAACTAACCATGTATCAAAATAAATTGTGAAATAAGAAAATGCCTTCTTTTTAGCACCTAATCAAATATCTTATTTTAGATTGTGCCAAAACTGAATGGTAGATGATAGTCACATTAATTCTGACTGACAATTTCATGGGAAAATCTGGGAAGACATCTCCCCCCAGATCATTCATGTGGAGAACATACTCCAGCTGAGCTTAACTGGCTGCCATATGTCACTCCTAGTCCACTGATAAATAGCTCCCAGTACAGGTATCAGGATTAGTGTCCTTCAGTATATTATGGCCTGGAAAGTGGCCACGGTAACTTCTAACTCATAGTGCAAGATGCATTTGTTGTTAGAAAAGGTTAAACAGATTTTTGTCATTGCTACTAACAGAACCAAGACTGTTGTGTAAAAGCAAACTACAGCATCATTAGAGTTTACCATGATGCTCGGGATGTATTCTGTCCTGTTATAAAATCAGAGAATGTCACCAGCAGACAGAGCGTGGAAGGGGAGCGGTGTGCCTTTGGTCCCTCAGCATATCATCTAGGGAGGAAAAAGTACTTCTTACATGCTAGCTATTTCAATTTGTTAAGGCTGTTACTGAGAGGGAGGAAACAAATGCTCAAAATAATTTTATAAAATAAATAGAGGTTAGAATTGTTCTGTGATTGTAGGATGGCACAATCTTGAATGATTATTTAAGTGATGTGTTTGCTACTGTGATGTGTTTTAAATGTGGTGAGCTATTTCCATTAATGGCAGATCTCAGACCATCAGAGTCGTTTTCCTCTCCTTCATTCTACTGACATCTGTCTTAACTTTCTTTCATTATCTGCCTCCATCCTATGCGGACCCGGAGAGTATCCTCCTTCACAGTCACTCTCTTTAACTTCCTGCCTGGATTTGCTTTCTTCAAAGACTGATTCTCTGAGGCTTCCTTTTCCTGAATTTTTAATTTATTCCCTGAGCAATCAGTTTCAATAACATTCAAGCTGGAAAGAAATTAATTAGACTTTCTTCAGAATTAGAAAAAGTGGCACTATCTGACTTTCATACTTTCATTTTGGATGTGGGAATATGTCCAGATCAGTGTAGAGTTTTGCATGAAGCTGATGAGAAGACTATTTTCTTATGTTCTCCTTCTGAATATATGACGTTTTTGTGTACACGTTTCTGCATATCTCTGAAGTGCTTTCTAGTAGACCATGTGAGTGGAAGACCTAATATTTTAGCAATTTTCTATGTTTGGTTGACAGAATTAGGGCTTGTATTCAGTACAGCTCAAACAGCAGAAATCTGATTTTAGCATGATGAACACTGAAATTCAGTTATCAATAATCCTGTTGATCCAGGATTTATGTAACTAGTGCAGAGCTAGTTCAGTGACAGAGTGTTCATCCAGGGGTTGAAGATCATACCCTGCCCTCCCATTGCATCTCTCAAGGCCTTAGTACGTCCTATCTCCACAGCATGGAAAAGTCCATCGGGAATGCCACAACTGGGTCTTCTGGAAGAAATTCATGCTCAGCATTTCACTTTTGCATCTCTTTGATTAAACCTTTGTTAATATCTTCTTTTATTTTTTGCTAATTAATCCATTCTGTCTTGAAAAAATTGGCTAGGCTCCTGTACACTAAAACCTCTTAAGGTAGGACACAACACTGTTCCTGTGATATTGCAGGAATCCCAAAGACCTGGAGTCCAAGAGCTTTTGACAGGAGCTGAAAATGCAGAACTGTGAGTATTCACCTTACCCTCATCCTCCAGCTACAAGAGTGACAGTGATCAGAGAAGAAAAATTGCCTTTCTTTTACTCTTTCTTTACTCTATCTGTCATTGTAATAAGAGAAAAATTAAGGTGATTTTATTCTGTGCTTAAGGTTCTCTCTCCTGACCCCTTCACAGGTGGGAGATTGGGAAATGGAGCACCTGCAGTCTTACCTGTGGGGTTGGTTTACAGACACGAGATGTCTTCTGTTCTCATCTCCTATCAAGAGAGACTAATGAGACTGTGATTTTGGCAGATGAACTGTGCTCTAAACCTAAGCCATCCCTTGTGCAAGGCTGTAATCGCTTTGACTGCCCGCCCTCCTGGTATCCTACAGAATGGCAAGAGGTAAGAATGTATGTATAATCTCATTTTGTGATTGCTAAAAGTAGTCATTACACACATATCAGTGATCTGGGGGTTGGAGCATCTCTCCTATGAAGATGGGCTGGAGACCTGGAGTAGGGAAGGCTTCAGGAAGACCTTATAGCAGCCTTACAGTACATGAAGGATGCCTGCAAAAAAGCTCTGAAGAGGGACTTTTAACATGGACATGTGGTCATAGGACAAAGGGTAATGGATAAAGCTGAAAGAGGGTAGATTTAGTTTAGAAATTAGGATGAAATTCTTCAGTGTGAGGTGGTGAGGCACTGGAACAGTTTGCCTGGAGGAGATGTGGCTGCCCCCTTCCCAGAAGTGTTCCAGGCCAGGTTGGATGTAGCTTTGAGCAACCTGGTCTAGTGGAAGCTGTCCCTGCACATAATTGTGAGGTTGTGTGTGGGATGGGCAGGGGTGGAACTAGATGATCATTAAGGTCCCTTCTGACCCAAACCATTCTATGATTCCATGATTTTGCTTTATCCCATCAAGAGGAATCATAAATCATTCTGGTGAGCCATTAAAAACTGTGAAGTATGCTTTTTGCTCTTAAAAAAATACATGAACGTTTTCAGAGGTAAATAATGACTATAGCTATTTTTAATGCAAAGTTGCTGGAAAATCTTAACAGCTGGCTATGGATTCCAAACAAAAATATCTGGAATATGTTGGTCAGCTGCAGTGAGTGGATTTAGGTTAGGAATGTCAAGGTTTCTAGGAATACTAAACTAGAAGGATCAAGGATAAAAGAATCTGTAAAGCAGTTTGAGTATTCTGTATATTCTCAAATAATTAATTTAGTTTAGGAAAAGAAACACTCCTCATTCTTTGGAGTCACAAACGTGTATTAAACACTTCTCTTTGGGAGATAGATGCCTTATTACACTAATGATGAAAATTGCTTTCTACACAATGGGTCTGTACAAAGCTTTTTGTCTTTAGAAAGCAATCTGAAATTAGTTAATTTTCTGCCATTTTGTTGAAAATGAAAATACTTGTGTAATTCAAAAGACTTAAAGATGCTTTTTTATATGGTTATAATGCTGCATAGGAAGAAAGGACTGCTTTCTACAACTGCTGCACTGTTGTCAACACTAAAGGAAAACTTTGCAGTGTAGGTGCAAGCAAAAGGCCTGTTTGAATCTTCATTTCTGAGAGATGGAAGGCTTTATCCCATCGTATGAAGGCTTGACATATGCCTACCCAGTGTCTGTCTATAAAATCTGGGCTTTACTTAACAGCCAGGGAGATGTTAGTGTACTCACCTAAAGAAGCTGGTAAGTCCACGAAGCTGGAACAGCTCTGGGTTTGGGCAAGCAAGCCCGTAACAAAAATTTATGTTAGTCTGATGTTCTGGCAATGCTAGATAACTTCCTATGGCTTTAGTCCTGTGTTTAAAGCAATTCAGTCACAGTTCATGCTTTAATTTGTCTACTGATATTCACACACACATATACTTACCTGTACTTTTGAAAAGTTTTAGGCTATAGTCATACATAAATGCTATATTTGCAAATAGCATATAGTATTCTTCTAGTGCATCTCATAATAACATAATCAAGTCAAGTATTTCAAAATTAGGATATGCTAGAAAGTGCACCTCTGCTTGTTAAAATCCTGTAATTGCCACAGTCCTTACAGAAAGCAATTCTCTGTAAGTTTATTTGAACAGTCAGGAGAGCTATATGTTATAGCATGCTGAAAAATTGACTTTCTGCTAAGTGACCATTAGCTATAGGCCACTCTAGAACATTATCAAAATTGTTTCTGCTAGAGCTATCTCCAGACAGATTTTGTCAAGATTTGAATATTTTCCTCAACAGTGTAAACAGGCATATTTTTGCCTGTTTAAAGTCATTTTTGTGACTGCTCAAGGGCTCTCAAATGCTGTCTTTTTGAAAGGTGTAGCAGATCTTAGTGAGGGGAAGCTTGATTAAGTATAAAGTATTTAACAACTATATTATCAGCTGTCTTCTATGGGCAGAGAGAGAACCTGTGCTGTAACTCATTGCTGCAGCATAACAAAGGTCATGTTGTAGCTCTTCTGCCTTACTTCCACAGACTTTTCAGGCTGGCCAGCTGTGAACATAGCTGTTCGCTACCTCAGCACTGAGTCTTTCTTGTGCTTACCTTTCAACAGAAGAAAACAGCACAAAAATGTGCATCTCTACCTACTGTCTTCTGCCTCTGTTTAGTGAGTACAGCAAGAAAAAAAACTCAAATCTATCAAAATCAATTTCCATTCTCGCAGTTTTTAAGGACATCTCCTTTCTTTGCATCACCAACATCTGTACAGTTACTCCCACACTGTAGGAAAGCCAAGCCTTGCAGCTCAGTCTCACGCAGGTTTCCCATGGGTGACATCCATGTGAAAACCTGCACCATCAGGACTGTGCATTTCACTTAGAGATTATTGCAGCTGTTGGCTTCTGAGATGTGTGAGAGAAAAAAAACATTCAGACAGGATGTGAGTGGCTGAGACATCTTCTGGAGGTGAGCTCCAGTCATGCAGCAGAGCTGCTGTGCAACCCTCCAGCAGAAGAAACCCTGCAGGATTTCTTTCCTTGCATTAAGGGATGCACAACATCCCATCTCCCCAGGGTCCTATGAGGGTACCCCCTAACAGGGAGATGAAGGACCCTGCATCAAGGTGCCTTCATTGCCCTAGGGGAGGTTCTTTAAAGCTTCATTGACATGAAAGGGTGACATGTGTTCTCCACACAGCCTGCTTTCAAGCCATTTCTTTGGTTTCATCTGTGGAGTTCATTATGCTTTTCAGAGCACCCCCTCACACTAGTTTCATGCAAACGAACGAATCAAAATATTTAAACTGTAAGCAGTGTTTTCTATGGCCTTTTATGCTTGTAAGAAAGGACTATCTGAATTAAATGTTATTTGAAGCCCCAGTGTTCCTGGCAGATAAATACATGATGATTATCAGTGTTGTAACATTCTAAACAATTTTTAAAACATCTCTTTACAGATTCCAGACTATTTATTTTAAAACAGTTATGTTTTTTAATGAAATCCATTAGAACATTTATCTCATTTTGAGTAGTGTGCTTCTGGAGCAAGGAGCTTCTGTCTTTCAAGGAAAATGTGTATCCTAAATCACAGAATCACAGAATATGCTGAGTTGGAAGAGACCCACAAGGATCATCGAGTCCAACCCTTAGCCCTGCATAGGACCATCCCCGAGAGCCACATCCAAATGCTTCTTGAACTCTGGCAGGCTTGGTGCTGTGACCACTTTCCTGGGGAGCCTGTTCCAGTGCCCAACCACCCTCTGGGTGAAGAACCTTTTCCTAATATCCAACCTAAACCTCCCCTAACACAACTTCAGGCCATTCCCTTGGATCCTGTCACTGGTCACCACAGAGAAGAGATCAGTGCCTGCCCTTCCTCTTCCCCTCAGGAGGAAGCTGTGACTGCAATGAGGTTGCACCTCAGTCTCCTCTAGGCTGAACAGACCAAGTGACCTCAGCCGCTCCTCATACAGCTTCCCCTCAAGATCCTTCAATATCTTCCTTGTCCTCCTTTGGACACTCTCTAAGAAGTTAATATCTTTGCTATATTGGGGTGCCCAAAACTGCTCGCAGTATTCAAGGTGAGGCCACCCCAGCGCAGAGCAGAGCAGGACAGTCCCCTCCCTTGACCCGCTGGCGATGCTTTGCCTGGTGCCCCCCAGGACATGGTTGGCCCTCCTGGCTGCCAGGGCACTGCTGACTCATATTCAACTTGCCATCAACCAGGACCCCCAGATCCTTTTCCACAGCACTGCCTTCAAGCATCTCATCAACCAGTCTGTATGAACATCTGGGGTTGCCCCATCCTAGGTGCAGGATCCCACATTTTCCCTTCTTTAACTTCATATGGTTGGTGATTGCCCACTCCTTTATTGATGTTTCTCTGCAGGGCCTCCCTGCCTTCAAGGGAGTCAACAGCTCCTCCCAGTTTTGTGTCATCTGCAAACTGGCTGATGATCTCCAGTTCTGCATCCAAGCCATTTATGAAGATGTTGAAGAGAACAGGGCCTAAGATGGAGCCCTGTGGAACCCCACTAATGACAGGTCACCAGTCTGATGTCACCCCACTCACTATTACCCTCTGTGCTCAACCCGTGAGCCAACTGCTCACCCACTGCATGATGTGTTTATCCAGCTGTGTGCTGGACATTTTGTCCAGCAGGATCCTGTGAGAGACAGTGTAGAAAGCTTTACTGAAATCCAAAAATATTACATCAACTGTCTTCCCTTGATCGGCTAGGTGGGTTACCTTGTCATAGAAGGAAGTCGAATTGGATAAGTAGGACTTTACTCTCATGAGGCTGTGCTGGCTGTGACCAATGACTGTGTTGTCTTTCAGTTGCTTTTCAATACTTCCCTAAATAATCTTCTCCATAACTTTACCAGGCACTGAAGTGAGACTGACAGGCCTGTAGTTTCTGGGGTCCTCCTCTCTGCCCTTCTTGAAAATCTTGAACAACATTCTCCAGCTTCCAATTGGCTGGGACCTCTCCAGATTCCCAAGACCAGTCAAAAATCATCGAGAGAGATTCTGTGATGACAACATGTCTTAGTTTAGCAAGACACAAATGTCCGTTAAGGAGGGTGTGGGGGCCAGAAAAAGAAGAGCCACCTTCCTCCCTCCCTCCGCATTATTACAACTTTGAGATTAGGAGGCTTCAGATGAAAGGTGTAGAAAAGGAAAATAACAACTCTTTATTAACAAACCCAAATAAACAACAATGGTGCAACCAGAACTTTCAAAAGAAACAAATCCCAGGC